CGAGGAGCATCGACAGACGGAGGGAGCAGCAGGAGGAAGAAGAAGAAGAAGACGAGGAGCATCGAGAGGAGAGCAGCAGCAGAAGGAGAAGAAGAAGAGAGGAGCATCGACAGACGGAGGGAGCAGCAGGAAGAAGAAGAAGAAGAGAGAGACATCGACAGACGGAGGGAGCAGCAGGAAGAAGAAGAAGAAGACGAGGAGCATCGACAGACGGAGGGAGCAGCAGGGAAGAAGAAGAAGAACGAGGAGCATCGACAGACGAGGGAGCAGCAGGAAGAAGAAGAAGAAGAAGACGAGAGCATCGACAGACGGAGGGAGCAGAGAGAAGGAAGAAGAAGACATCGACAGACGGAGAGCAGCAGGAAGAAAAGAAGAAGAAGACGAGGAGCATCGACAGACGGAGGAGCAGCAGCAGAAGGAAGAGAGAAGAAGACGAGGAGCATCGACAGACGGAGGGAGCAGCAGAAGAAGAAGAAGAAGAAGACGAGGAGCATCGACAGACGGAGGAGCAGCAGGAGGAAGAAGAAGAAGACGAGGAGCATCGACAGACGGAGGGAGAGCAGCAGGAAGAAGAAGAAGAAGACGAGGAGCATCGACAGACGGAGGGAGCAGCAGGAGGAAGAAGAAGAAGACGAGGAGCATCGACAGACGAAGGGGGCAGCAGGAAGAGAAGAAGAAGACGAGGAGCATCGACAGACGGAGGAGCAGCAGGAGAAGAAGAAGAAGACGAGGAGCATCGACAGACGGAGGGAGCAGCAGGAGGAAGAAAGAAGAAGACGAGGAGCATCGACAGACGGAGGAGCAGCAGGAGAAGAAGAAGAAGAAGATCGACAGACGAGCAGCAGGAAGAAGAAGAAGACGAGGAGCATCGACAGACGGAGGAGCAGCAGGAGGAAGAAGAAGAAGACGAGGAGCATCGACAGACGGAGGGAGCAGCAGGAAGAAGAAGAAGAAGACGAGGAGCATCGACAGACGGAGGGAGCAGCAGGAAGAGAAAGAAGAAGACGGGAGCATCGACAGACGGAGGAGCAGCAGGAAGAAGAAGAAGAAGACGAGGAGCATCGACAGACGGAGGGAGCAGCAGGAAGAAGAAGAAGAAGAAGACGAGGAGCATCGACAGACGGAGGGAGCAGCAGGAAGAAGAAGAAGAAGACGAGGAGCATCGACAGACGGAGGAAGCAGCAGGAAGAAGAAGAAGAAGACGAGGAGCATCGACAGACGGAGGAGCAGCAGGGAAGAAGAAGAAGAAGAAGACGAGGAGCATCGACAGACGGAGGGAGCAGCAGGAAGAAGAAGAAAAGAAGACGAGGAGAGCATCGACAGACGGAGGGCAGGAGAAGAAGAAGAAGAGAGGAGCATCGACAGACGGAGGGAGCAGCAGGAAGAAGAAGAAGAAGACGAGGAGCATCGACAGACGGAGGAGCAGCAGGAAGAAGAAGAAGAAGACGAGGAGCATCGAAGACGGAGGGAGCAGCAGGAAGAAGAAGAAGAAGAAGACGAGGAGCATCGACAGACGGAGGGAGCAGCAGGAAGAAGAAGAAGAAGAAGACGAGGAGCATCGACAGACGGAGGGAGCAGCAGGAGAAGAAGAAGAAGACGAGGAGCATCGACAGACGGAGGAGCAGCAGGAGGAAGAAGAAGAAGACGAGGGAGCATCGACAGACGGAGAGCAGCAGGAAGAGAAGAAGAAGAAGACGAGGAGCATCGACAGACGGAGGAGCAGCAGGAGGAAGAAGAAGAAAGACGAGGAGCATCGACAGACGGAGGGAGCAGCAGGAGAAGAAGAAGAAGAAGACGAGGAGCATCGACAGACGGAAGCAGAGGAAGAAGAAGAAGAAGACGAGAGCATCGACAGACGGAGGAGCAGCAGGAAGAAGAAGAAGAGAGGAGCATCGACAGACGGAGGAGCAGCAGGAGGAAGAAGAAGAAGACGAGGAGCATCGACAGACGGAGGGAGCAGCAGGAAGAAGAAGAAGAAGACGAGGAGCATCGACAGACGGAGGAGCAGCAGGAGGAAGAAAGAAGAAGACGAGGAGCATCGACAGACGGAGGGAGCAGCAGGAAGAAGAAGAAGAAGACGAGGAGCATCGACAGACGGAGGAGCAGCAGCAGGAGAGAAAAGAAGACGAGGAGCATCGACAGACGGAGGGAGCAGCAGAAAGAAGAAGAAGAAGACGAGGAGCATCGACAGACGGAGGGAGCAGCAGGAAGAAGAAGAAGAAGAGACGAGGAGCATCGACAGACGGAGGAGCAGCAGGAGGAAGAAGAAGAAGACGAGGAGCATCGACAGACGGAGGAGCAGCAGGAAGAAGAAGAAGAGACGAGGAGCATCGAAGACGGAGGGAGCAGCAGGAAGGAAGAAGAAGAAGACGAGGAGCATCGACAGACGGAGGGAGCAGCAGGAAGAAGAAGAAGAAGACGAGGAGCATCGACAGACGGAGGAGCAGCAGGAAGAAGAGAAGAAGAAGACGAGGAGCATCGACAGACGGAGGGAGCAGCAGAAGAAGAAGAAGAAGACGAGAGCATCGACAGACGGAGGAGCAGCAGGAAGAAGAAGAAGAAGAAGACGAGGAGCATCGACAGACGGAGGGAGCAGCAGCGAGGAGCATCGACAGACGGAGGAGCAGCAGGAAGAAGAAAGAAGAAGACGAGGAGCATCGACAGACGGAGGGAGCAGCAGGAGAAGAAAGAAGAAGAGACGAGGAGCATCGACAGACGCAGAGAAGAAGAAGAAGAGACGAGGAGCATCGACAGACGGAGGAGCAGCAGGAAGAAGAAGAAGAAAGACGAGGAGCATCGACAGACGGAGGGAGCAGCAGGAAGAAGAAGAAGAAGAAGACGAGAGCATCGACAGACGGAGCAGCAGGAGAAGAAGAAGAGAAGACGAGGAGCATCGACAGACGGAGGCAGCAGCAGGAAAGAAGAAGAAGACGAGGAGCATCGACAGACGGAGGGAGCAGCAGGAAGAAGAAGAAGAAGACGAGGAGCATCGACAGACGGAGGAGCAGCAGCAGGAAGAAGAAAGAAGACGAGGAGCATCGACAGACGGAGGGAGCAGCAGGAAGAAGAAGAAGAAGAAGACGAGGAGCATCGGCAGACGGAGGGAGCAGCAGGAGGAAGAAAGAAGACGAGAGCATCGACAGACGGAGGTAGCAGCAGGAGGAAGAAGAAGAAGACGGAGCATCGATAGACGGAGAGCATGAGGAGCACAGCAGCAGCAGGAAGAAGAAGAAGAAGAAGACGAGAGCATCGACAGACGGAGGGAGCAGCAGGAGGAAGAAGAAGACGAGGAGCATCGACAGACGGAGGGCAGCAGGAGAAGAAGAAGAAGACGAGGAGCATCGACAGACGGAGGGAGCAGCAGCAGCAGCAGAAGAGGAAGAAGACGAGGAGCATCGACAGACGGAGGGAGCAGCAGGAGAAGAAGAAGAAGACGAGGAGCATCGACAGACGCATTTATTGATGATACCAACATGAATAACATTGGTATAATCAAAATTTTTAAAACTAGGATTTGGTGGAGGAGCGCTTACATTCAAAATTCCAACAGAGATAAACAGGTAGCTGGGTGAAAATGTTTATTCGTAAATATGCGATAAAACGCTTTCTTAGAATAAGAAACGGAAAGAAAAAGGGAAGAAAGAGAGAGAGGGGGGGGGGTAAGAAAGAGAGAGAGGATTGAGAACGTGAGAGAAAGCGTACTGAGACAGAGGGAGAGAGGAAGAAAGGGAGAGAGAAAGAGATGTTCTGGAAGATTAAAACTGAGAGGAAAGAAAATCAAACGGAAAAACTAACACAAGAAGGCTAAGGGCCAAAGTGGTAACAAGTTGGCGTGATGAAATAACGAAATTCTGTAACAAATATGCAGGCCAATCCATAAAAAGAATCAACATTTTCATTATCATGATTGTAGCTATCGTGGGATGAAGATATTTTAAATACAAAGGAAACGATTTGGTTTCCACAATTCAAATTGTTTTTATCATTATTTTGATGTTCCTTTCCTTATCTTGGATATTTTTTATTAATCTATCCTTATTACCATTATGACCATAACTATCATTCATTGCCACAATAATTTATGCCTTTCTATTCTCAGCAAACTGGCTACAACCGCATATATATATATATGTATATATATATATATATATATATATATATATATATATATATATATATATATATATATATATATATATATATATGTGTGTGTGTGTGTGTGTGTATGTGTGTGTGTGTGTGTGTGTGTGTGTGTGTGTGTGTGTGTGTGTGTGTGTGTGTGTGT